TGCCACCACAGCATGGCTTGATGAGCGGTATATAGGTTTGCACCCAGGATGTGAACCTGCAAACCTTGGGCCACTAAAGTGGAGTATGCGAACTTAACCACTATGCAACCAGGCCAGCCCCAAGGATGCCTACTTTTGCCACATCAATTTAACATAGTACTGGCAGTCCTAGCCAGAGCAATTAGGCAAGAAAAAGAAATAAAAGGCATTCAAATTAGAAAAGAAGTAAAATGATCTCTGTTCACAGATAATATAATCTTGTATGTAGAAAACGCTAAAGATTCCATTAAAAAAAACCTGTTAGAACTAATAAATGAATTCATCAAAGTAGCAGGACACAAAACCAACACACAAAAATCAGTTGCACTTCTATGCATGAAAAATGAACAATCTGAAGAGGAAATTAAGAAAACAATTCCATTTACTACAGCATCAAAAAGAATAAAATACTTAGGAATTAACTTAACCAAGGAAGTGAAAGACTTATACAATGAAACGTTACTGAAAGAAATTAAAGCAGACAATTTATTTACGATGGGAAAGATATCTTATGTTCATGAGTTGGAAGACTTAATGTGGAATATTGTTAAGATTTCAATACAGGGGCCAGCCCATGGCCGAGTGGTTAAGTTCATGAGCTCCACTTTGGCAGCCCAGGGTTTCGCCGGTTTGGATCCTGGGCGCGGATATGGCACTGCTTATCAGGTCATGCTGAGGCAGCGTCCCACATAGCACAACCAGCAGGACCACAACTACAATATACAACTACGTACTGTGGGGCTTTGGGGAGAAGAAGGGGAAAAAAAAAAAGAAGATTGGCAACAGATGTTAGCTCAGGTGCCAATCTTTAAAAAAAAAAAAGGTGTCAATATTACCCAAAATGATCTACAAACTCAGCGCAATCCCTATCAAAATCCTAATGATGTTTTTTGTAGAAATAGGAAAATATATCCTAAAATTTCTATGGAATCTCAAGAGACCATGAATAATCAAAAGATTCCTGAAAAAGAATGAAGTGAGGACTCACACTTCCTGATTTCAAAACTTACTACAAAGCTAAAATAATCAAAACAGTGTGGTACTGGCACATAGACAAATCAATGGAACAGAATAGAGAGCTCAGAAATTTTGCATTTATGGTCAAATGATTTTTGACAAGGGTTCCAAAATCATCCAATGGAGAGAGGATAGTCTTTTCAACAAATTGTGCTGGAAAAACTGGATATCTACATGCAAAAGAATGAACTTGGACCCTTATCTAACACTATGTACAAAAAAGGAAGACAAACTATACTTCATGAAAATTAAAACTTTTGTGCATCAAAAGACACTACTAACTGAGTAAAAAGACAATCTACAGAATGGGAGAAAACATTTGCAAATCGTATATCTGATAAGGGCCTGATAGCCAGAATATATAGTTAACTCCTAAAACTCAGCAACAAAAAAACAACCTGATAAAAAAATGAGCTAAGGACCTGAATAGACATTTCTCGAAAAAATATATACAAATGGCCAATAAGCACATGAAAAGATGCTCAACATCACTAATTGTTAGGGAAATACGAATCAAAACTACAATATGTTACCACCTCTTACTTACTAGGATGGCTACTATGAAAACAAACAAACAAACAATAACAAGTGTCGGTGAGGATGTGAGGAAATTGGAACCCTTCTGCACTGTTGGTGAGGATCTAAAATGGTACTGCTGCTGTGGCAAATTGTATGGCTGTTCCTTAAAAAATTGAAATAGGATTACCACGTGATTCAGCAATTTCACTTCTGGGTATAGACACAAAAGAACTAAAAGCAGGGTCTCAAAGAGATATTTCTACACCTGTGTTTACAGCAGTGTTATTGACAATAGCCAAAAGGTGGAAGCAACCCAAGGGTCCATTGATGGATGAATGGATAAGCCAAATGTTATATATATGTATACACACACACACACACACACACAATGGAATACTATTCAGCCTTAAAAAGAAAGGAAATTCTAATGTATGTTACAACATGGATGAACCTTGAGGACATTAGGCAAAGTGCAACAAGCCAGCCACAAAAGGACAAATACTGTATGATTCCACTTATATAAGGTATCAAGAGCAGCCAAATTCATAGAGACAGAAAACAGAATGGTATTGCTAGGGTTTGGGGGGAGGGGAGAATAGAGTTATTGTTTAATAGGTATAGAGTTTCAGTTTTGCAATATGAAATGAGTTCTGGAGTTGGATGGTGGTGGTAGTTGCACAATGATATGAATGTACTAAATGGCACTGAACTGGACACTTAAAAATGATTAAGATGGTAAATTTTTATGTTTGTGTGTTTTACCACAATAAGAAAATGTGTTTTTGTAAATTACCCAAAAAAACCCTGTAGTAAATATCTTTGTGTGTACATTATTTCACTTATTTTATTATTTCACATGTGCACCCATATTTGTAAAGTAGATTTCTAGAAGTGTATGTTGCAGTGTCAAATGGCATGTGTACTTATAATTTTGAAAATATTATAGCCAAACTGTAGGTTGTGCTGATGCACATGCCCATCGGCAATGGATAAGTACCTATGTCCCCACACCTCTGCCAATAGTGTGTTAGAAAACATTGTGATGTTTGCCAAACTGATTCGAGATGATGATATTTCAATGTAGCTTTAATTTGAATTTCTCTTGTTATAAGTGGGTTTTAGTGAGGTTTAAGAGCCACTATTATTCTCTTTTTGAAAAACTGTTCCTATGGCAGTGGTATTTTGAAACCAAATGCAGACATATAAAGTTCTCTCTTTTAAATTTCATTCAGCTCTTTTTGGTTTACCATTGTGGTTAATTGAAAGAATTTTGAATCCTGATTTCCCATCTGGTAAATTGGCTCTCTTTATATTTTTGCCAGTCTGTGGATCTGGTCTCTGGCAACAATGCTTGGGCTTCCAAGTGGGATTTCCTGAATTCCAGAGACACCAGGAGACTCTTTTCAGCCCCAGAGTCTTTTTTTATTGGGGAAGATTAGCCCTGAGCTAACATCTGCCGCCAATCCTCCTCTTTTTGCTGAGGGAGACTGGCTCTGAGCTAACATCCGTGCCCATCTTCTTCTACTTTATACGTGGGACACCTACCACAGCATGGATTCCCAAGCGGTGCCATGTCCGCACCTGGGATCCGAACCGGCGAACTGCCGCCCCCCAGCCCCAGAGCCTTAAAGTTCAATTCTAATCTACAGTCTGTCTTTCCACTATCAACTCTCTTTTACCATAAAAATTCAATTTCACAATTAAATCACCACAAAGCAACCATAAACATCCATTCTTCTTGAACTTTGCCGTTATTGTTGTTTATATTAGAAGGTGAACTCTTGGCCATCTGAGTGATCTAGTTGTATACAACCTTTGATAACCTAAAAAACCTCCCAAACTATTCTGTATTATGTTTTCTCATGGGTAAGATAGAGACAATAATACTTTACTCACAAGGTTGTGAGACATATTACATATACACATGTGTATATGTTTCAATATATGTATGTGTTCAAACTGTACAAATGGTAAAAATTGAAAAATAAAAGTTACATTCCAAGCCCAATTCTACCTTTCAGGCTTTGAAATAAATTGGAATTATGTTTTACATATTGTTTGTTAAACTTAATTTCACTTAACCTGTTGTGAAGTATTTTCCAAGTGTTTAAATGACTTTCTACATCATTCTTTTTAAAGTCGCAGTGTTCTGTTGGATGGGTGTGCTGTAATGTTTTCAACCAGTCTCCCATCATTGAACACTTAGTACACTAACAGACTCACAGGATCACCTCACAGTAGAATAAGTTGCTTCTTCATCTGTAAAGCCACTTGTGAAGAGATGCTCACAACTGTTGCTAGGTCATTTTGGGGCAGGTAGAGGCTATAGTTTTTGGTACAGGAAAAATTTTAAAGTACTTTGATTTTGATTTTGGTGCCTCTCTTTTTGCTATAATTTTAAAATAAAACTATATATGTTATTCACATTAATTGCAGAAAAATTAGACAACATAGGGAAAAACTAATTTTAATTATACAGATATCACTCCTCAAAGTTAACAATTGTTAACATTCTTTTAGCCTTTTTTTCCCCTGGGGCATAGATACATAGGTACTATAAATATAATTCATTTACGAAAATTTGATAATACTACACGTTTCCGTTCACCAATATATCATGAACATGTATTCATAGCATTCTTTACACTGGCTGCGTAGAAGTGCCAACCTCTTTTTAGCTAGGCTCCCAGGTACCTTGAGTTTTAGTGTGTTTTCCTGTAATAAACTCAGGGAACTAATCAGCAATAGATTCTGGAAAAGTACATCTAATATCTGTATAGTACTTTTCAGGGTACATTAGCACATATTAACCGTGTAAATGAAATGACAGTGATATCTCAGAGTAATTTGGAGAAATAAACAAGATAACAGTGCACGGCACATAGAAAACAACTCATAATGTGAGTTATTACTGATATAGTCAACAGTCCCGTATGGGAAGTAACATTACCACCTCGTACATTATTTTGGATGAGAAAACTGGCTGGTAGAGATGAATTAAGAGCTCGAGCTCAAGGACGTCAGTCTGGTAATCTCAGCTCGTCTGACTTCAAATTTCCTATTTTTGGCACTACACCACATTGACACTCTTTCCTGTGGGACTTGTCCTTTCTGCTAGCTGCCTCCAGCTAACATTATTTTCCTATTTCCCAATTCTTGAGAGCCCAACAAGGAATTGCTTGACTTTGGGATGGCTATTCAGCTGGAATTAAAAGGGGCCTTAATGAAGTTAAGCTACCAGGACAACCGGTGTAAGGAAAGCGAGGAGTTGAGCACGGGGGAGGAAACGGTTTTGCGGCTCCTGGATTTTGCCACGAGGCTTTGCCGTTGCCCTGGAGGCACTAGGAGGGTGGAGAAACCAGTAACGCCTGAAGGACTACATTTCCCAGGTGCCCGCGCGCCGCGGGCCGCGTGACCGCCGGCTGGAGCGCGCCGGGCCGTTCGGTCCGTAGCCGCGTTTTCGGCCGCTTCCTTCTTCTCTCCCCGCCTCCCGGCCTTCGCAGTAACGCGGCCCGGGCAGGAGCCCAGCCGGAGCCGGAGCCGGAGCCGGATCCGCAGCCGCAGAGACGTGGAAACATGGAGGCCTGAGCTGGCTTGCGCACTCGGGCTGCGGCGGCGACCACAGCTTCTCCCTATCCTCCTCTGCCACCCGCTCGTCGGTCAATGAACTGGAAGCGGATCTCCCCGCCGGCTGAGGCAGGTGGGCTGTGGCGCCGCCCCCGGCAGCGCGGCCCTGGAAGCCCAGCGGGCCCCCGCCCCTCGTCAGGGCGGGTTGGGGAACACCCTCTCTTCCCCTCCCCGGGTCGGCGCCGGCAGTGGAGGGGCAGCTCCGCCAGGGCGGGGGAGAAGGGTCCCTTCCTGCCACTGGGGAACAGGGCCTCCCTGTAGGGGCTGCGCCTGAGCCGCGAGAGCTCCTTCCATCTCCCCGCTCCCCCCTTGCAGGGTGCAGTGGCACCTAGAGCCGAGGGGTGAGGGGGTGTGTTAATCCAGAGAGCGAGAGGGACCTCTGTCCGAGTTTGGTGTTGAAAGTTGGGGGGATACTGACAAGCAAGTCGATGGTTCGTGAATTAGGGCGATGTTGGTCTGACAAATGGGTGTGTGATGGGCAGGCTGAGCAATAGTGTTGTTTTTTCTTTTTGACATATACTTTTTTATTGAGTTAGAATTCGCATTCTATAAAATTCATTCTTTAAAAGTACAGTTAAAGTACAACTGATTGGTTTTTAGCCTATTCGCAGGGTTCTGCAACTAATTCCAGAACATTTTTATCACCCACAAAAGAAACCTTTTACCCATTAGCAGGCACTCATTCTTCCCTCCCCAACCCCTTGACAACTATCAATCGCGTTTTAACTGAAGGGTGAAAGGTGGGAAGTTAGCTCAGGTGTTTGTGACCTGGGGGCAGTAGTGGGGATTGAGGGTAGTGGGGTGATAAAGCTGATAGCATGCTTGGAATAGGGCCAGCAAAGGGGGCCCTAGAGGGGCAGATGGAGTGCGAGCCTTGAAACGGGAGAGGGGAGGCTGCAGGGCGAAGTGTGTAGAGAGAAGATGCTGTACTGGAAGATACGAAAACATGGGGAGTGGAGACCATGGAGAGGAATGTAACCTTACAGAGGAACCCAGGCTTTTGGCCTGATCAGTTGAGGGCTCAAGAGAGGAACTGGAGGTAGAAGGGAGGAGAATCTATACGAATAGGTGAGTGGTTGCTGCTGAGCATGACATTTATGAATATATAGATTTCTAGAATGATCCTGCTTTGTAGTTTGTCTCTTATATCATCTTCCCAGCAACACAGAAGCTGGGCAAGTATAAATATTCCCATTCTGCAGATGAAGAACCAGTCCTTTAGAGATTAGGTGACTTGCTTAAGCTCATCAGGTTAGTAAGTAGGGCAAAATGAGGTGGGGATTAAAGGATAATTGATGAAACTCTCAGTTGCAGGTGGATTAAGTGGCAGAGAATTGAGGCAGGGCAATGTTACAGGAAGGATATTCAACTATTAAATGTATTAAGTCTATATTGTTATGGTAGATAGGTTAAGGACTTTTGTTTTTGTACCTTTTAAATATAGAAAATTCAAACAGTGGAATAGTATGATATACTGCTATGTGCCCATTACCTAGTTCCAACAATTAGTAAATCAGGCTAATTTAGTTTTGTTTATATCCCTATCCATTTCTGTCCCCACTCTCAATTATTTTAAAGCAGATCTTAGGCATACCATTTTGTTAGTAAATATTTCAGTATATGTCTGTAGAAGATTGAGTCATTTTCTTTTTAATATATCCACAATACAGTCATCACACCTAAAAAAAATTAATAGTAAGCTCTTAATATCATCAATATCTAGAAGGACTTATTTTGTAAAATGTACCCATTTGATGTAAGGGGAGTAAGCAGTGCAAACACTTTGATGTTTGACTCTGAAAAATATAGTATAATTGCTTCCTGACTTTTTTAGTAGCCCCTGTTATCCTGACTGTTCCATTTTCTCGGTTAGTATGGTTCATCTTTGTACAAACAGTTTGAAGAATTGTCACTTTGGCTGGCTTTTTTTTTTTTAGATTGGCGCCTGAGTTAACAACTGTTGCCAGTCTTCTTTTTTTTCCCCTGCGTTTTCTCCCCAAATCCCCCCAGTACATAGTTGTATATTTTGGTTGTGGGGCGTTCTAGTTGTGGCTGGCTGGCTTTTTAATGGATGGAGTTTTGTGAGGGCAGGAGAAAAATGGAAGTGAAATATAGTGCAACATGCACAGATAACTATTATGTCTCCTGATGCTCTAAACATTTGGGCAATTTGATTATGCTTTTCTCCTCTAGGTAATTTCGCATATTGTTAGAAGTTGTGTAGTGTGTATGTATTAGTTTTCTATGACTACTGTAACAAATTACAGCATACTTAGTAGCTTTAAACAACGCATTTATTATTTTATAGTTCTGTATTTTTAGAAGTTCGAAATGGGTCTCCCTGGCCTAACGGCAGCGTGTCAGCAAAGCTGTGTTCCTTTCTGGAGGTTTCTAGGGGAGAATCCATTTCCTTGCCTCTTCCGGCTTCTAGAGGCTGCCGCATTCCTTGGCTTGTGGCTCCCTTCCTTCATCTTCAAAGCCAGCAACATTGCGTCTCTCTGACAGTTCTTCTCTAGTCAATCTCTGACACAGCTGGGAAAAGCTCTCCACTCGTAAGGACCCGTGTGATGAGATCAGACCCATCTGGATAATTCAGGATAATTCCCCCCACCCCAAGATCCTTAGCTTAATTACATATGCAAAGTCCGTTTTGCAGTGTAGCACAGAATCACAGGCTCCGTGGATTAGGATGTGGATGTCTTTGGGGGCTATTATTCCACCTTCCACAGGATGTTTTGGGATATTTTGCTGAGATTTAAGAAAATAGGTGATTTCCTTTGCTGCTACAACTGCACTGTAAGTGTTTTCTTCCACTTTGTAGATAATGGGAATGGTTAGAGTTAGAGAGGACTGTTCTGTTTTCCTTTTTAGTGACTATAAACAAATTTATGGGAAATACCTGTGACACTTGTAGTGCAGGCTTTGGTAAAATGAGACCTTTGAAAGTCATTAAGTATAAAAGCAGTGTAACATCATGTAAAGTTGTCTGTATTTTGTTTTGGTCTCTCTTATTCATGTTTTCTGAGTATTGTTTGCTTGTAATCAGAGTGTATATAATGCTCAACTGCTGCTTGAAGTCATAGGACACTCTGGGGCAATGATGGTTCCCATGCCCAGAATGAGAGGGCAGGGACTCTGTCCCACTGGGTGATAGAGGCACCCGCCACTTCACAGGAAGACTCCTGAAGTGAGAGAAAATTTTCAGGTAGAATGAGCTACTGTGAGATTGAGCTTGAAGCCCGTTCTCACGTCTTTCTTCTATGATCCATCTGGGCATGGGTGAGTGCTGTGGGCCTGAAAAGCAGAGGGCAAGATGGCTGTTGCTGCTCTTCCTTTCCTAGGGCAGGGAGAAGACTGAATCTTAGAGGTGGAAAGGGTTTCAGGAAGTCCTCTAATTTGGTACCCTGCTTCCTGAGGGGGTTCCACTTTCCGACTTAGCTCTCAAGGTCGTGACTGCCTCTGGGTGTGACGGTCCTGGCCCTCTGATGGTGGTGTGTTTAGTGTGCCACTGAATCAGTAAGGAGTAGTTTGGGAATGGTTGAAGATCTGCTCCTGCCTTTAAGCTTATTGTCCCTAGGAGGGTTCTTAGCGGGGCTTGGTGCCTGAACTTCTAAACTCCTGGTAAACAGTTTGTAAGTTAGCCTCGTGTTTCTTATTTCTAGACAAAGTAACCTGAACTAGTAGGGTTGAGAAAACTTTACAAATAGGCTTTATTTATTAAATGGTTTTCTTTTTTTCATTTCTTTAAGGAAGTTTGGTTAGTACTTTTTTTTTTTTTTTTGGTTAGTACTTTTTGATGTCTTCTCTAATTGTTATCATGTTCTTTAAAAATGCAGACACCAGGCCCACTGTCGGGGCGGGGGTGGTTGGGGGGGGGAGTGTGGGCAAAATGGGTGAAGGTGGTCAAAAGGTACAAATTTCCAGTTATAAAATAAATAAGTCCTGGGGATGTGATGAACAGCATGGCAACTATAGTTAACAGTACTGTATTGTATATTTGAAAGTTGCTAAGAGAGTAGGTCTTAAAAGTTCTCATTGTAAGAAAAATTTGTAAGTATATGTGGCGATGGATGTTAATTTTTGGTGATCGTTTCACAGTATGTATGGATATTGAATAATTATGTTATACACCTGAAACTAATGTTATATGTCAATTATATATCTCAATTTAAAAAAGTGCAGATGCTGAAAGTGGCTGTAACTCTCCTATAAGGACATTGGAAGAGTTAGGCAAAAAAAATCTTTTGTATGTCATGTGATTGATGATATGTTTCTTGTTTAGATTGAGTCAGTCACTGAGTCTCGACAGTTCTTCCTTCAAAATATCTTTACAGCCTTCCACGTTTCTCTTAGAATACTTTCTTTTTATTTTTTATTTTTCCTTTTTCTCCCCAAAGCCCCCCGGTACATAGTTGTATATTTTAGTTGTGGGTCCTTCTAGTTGTGGCATGTGGGACACTGCCTCAGCATGGCTTGATGAGCAGTGCCATGTCTGTGCCCAGGATCCCAACCAGGGAAACCCTGGGCGAACTTCACCACTCGGCCATGGGGCCAGCCCCTAGAATACTTTCAAGGCCTCCTGTATCAGTTAGGATTAGGTTTGGTTGTGAGTAACAGAGACCTGAAAAATAATAGCTTAAACCTGTTATCAGTTTGTTTCTCATCTGAAAGAAGTCTGGAGGTAGACAATTCAGGGCTGGTATGGTGGCTCCACTGTCATAAGAGACCCAGTCTCTTTCCAGTTTCTTATTCTGTTGTCCCTATGGTATGGCCCTTGATTTCTGGGTTATAGGATGGCTGCTGGAGTTCTAGCTAATATCCATGTCCCAAGCAGCAGGATGGAGGAAGGGACCAAGAAGTGGCTGTAATTCAGTGTTAATCAGAACTTAGTCATATGACTATGCTGGCTGCAAGAGAGGTTGGGAAATGTATCTTATAACTGGACAGGCAGCAACATGCTCAGCCAAAAATTGGAGTTCTGTTACTAAAGGGGCCGGCAACTGGGGACTGGAGTAGGCAATTGGCATTTTCTACTGTACTTCATAATTAGTGTGTCTGCCTGTGGACTCCAGA